CATATGATGAAGAAGAGACCGAGTTGTTTCAAGTAGATGTTTGTTCTTTCTCTCAGCCACCCCATTTTGTTGAGGAGTGTGGGCACAAGAAGTCTGATGAATTATACCATGTTGTTCCAGGTACTGTTGAAAGGAAGAAAGAAAATACTCTCTACCATTGTCAGAACGAAGAATTTTAAGTGAAACACCAAATTGTGTATGCACTTCAGCATGAAATTTTTGGAAAATGGAAAATAATGCACTTCTTTCTTTCATTAAATAAAGCCATGTCATTATGGAACAATCATCAACAAAAATAACAAAATATATGTAACCATTGTATGACTCAATTCTAATTGGACCCCAAACATCTGAATGAACTAAATCAAAAGGACTCAACATACGACTATCAACTCTAGGACTGGAGGAAACCCAATGGTGTTTCCCATGCTGACACGACTCACACTACAAAGATGACAAACGACTCAATGATGGAACAAGAAGCTTGAGAGCTTTAAGAGATGGATGGCTGAGTCCACAATGCCACTAAATAGTAGTCAAGGAGGTTTGAAGTGCAACTGTAGAGCCTTCATCGTCAAGATAATACAATCCGCCAGCTTCATGCCCTACACCAATCTTCTTCCCCGTTGTTAGATCCTGAAAAACACAAGAAGGGTAAAATGTTATAGAACAATTGAGGGATTTAGTCAATTTGCTAACAAACATAAGATTAAAAGGAAACTTGGGAACGTATAAGACGGAAGACAAAGATAGAGATACAATGGTAACATTACCAACACCGTAGATGGGGGAAGTAGATCCATTAGCAAGGGTAACATTATTTAATGTAGAGGTTGAAGAAAGGGAGGAAAACACACCTGGAGTCCCGGTCATGTGATCAGAGGCTCCAGAGTCAATTATCCAGGGTGAAGGTTTGGATGCTAGGCAAGCTATACCTGAATGAGCAAGGGTGGCAGTTTCTGATATGAAGTGGCCTGAAGAAATCTCTCATACTCCTCTAGGAATACTCATCATCTCCCTCCCAGAAGTAGTTGTGACTATAGAAGATGCTGGATCAACTAGTTGAGTATCACTGACTTCACTACCACCAACAGCTACATGATTAGCCCATGTGGATGGTGGGCCATGTAAATCATAACAAAAGTTAACTATGTGTCCTCTCCCACAGTGTGTGCATTTCCCTGCTATGCTCCCCCTTCCTCTGCCACAACCTCCCCCGGAATCACGACCTCCTCCATTGGTACGACCACCCATAGAATTACCACAGCCTCCCTTATCTATACGGCCACCTCCTCTGTGCCCATAAGAACCACCTCGAGTACTAACCAGTGTTGATCTATCGAAAGTAATGTTATTCTCTGAGGGGCTAAGAGATATCCTACGGAAACGGGCAAAAACTTCTTCTATAGTAGGGAGGGCAGATCCTCCCAATATCTATGCCCTAATAGGTTCATACTCTGCTTTCAGTCCCACCAAGAACCGCGTAACATCAAGTTGTTCCCTTTGTTGTTGCTGAATTTTAACGTCTGAGGTTAAGGAATGATAGATGTTAGGTTCATTCCGAAGATTTTTCATGTTGGCATAATATTTTTCAAGAGTTTGATTTCCCTACTGCAAACTGAAATATTCTTGATAAAGCTGATAAACCCTTGTAGTGTTGTCTTGTCCTGGATAGAGTTTCTTGGCATGTTCCCATATATCCCTTGTTGTATCTAAAAACATGAAGTTAACACTGATTTTAGGCTCCATACTGTTCCATAACCACGTCATGATCTGAGCATCCTCTTGCTCCCAATCACTAAAACCTGAGGATTCAGCACTTGGTTTCTCCTCCCGTACATGTTTCACTTTCTTATTGGCCTTCAGAAACAGTTCCACCAACTTGGCCCACAGAACATAGTTTTCACCGTTGAGTTTGATGGATGTCATTTGGACACTTAAAAAATCAGAGGAGATCATCACACTCGATTTCTGGTCACCACTCGAATCACTCACCGATGCCATTTCACTCTACGAAACTAGTCCTGCCCATCACACACAAAAAGAGAAGTTTCAGCTACTGCACTACTGTTCTTCAACTTCCACACCAACACTTATAGTCACCACTAGCTTGCCCTAGCATGCATTCGGCCACTTTGAACACCATTGATCTGCACACAAGCAGAATTAAAAACACAGGGAATCCCTCTTGAAACTGATCATTTGAGGGTTCAGACCACAACCACTTCACCTACTCGACCGCCACAACTGTCACACATAGTGACAGCAATCCACACACAAAAAAAACTTGGGCTTCTTGTTCACTCGAACTGCTACTGTCGTCTACTGTCACCAGAGACTTGGGTTTCTTCACAGTCCTCTAACCCAGATTTCTCACACCATGCCGCAGAACCCCTACTATTACGAAACCTTAGATGTTGCCGCAGAAACCCTACTGTCACGAAACACTAGATGTTGCTGCAGAGACCTAGGTTTCTTCTCTAACCCGGATTTCTCACACCAGAAAAAAATGGAAAAGAAAGAAGAAGGAGAAGAGAGAAAGCTGCAGTCGACTTCTATTAGTGGGGCTCTGATACCATGTAAGTGTTCGGCCGAACAGAGAAGAGATAGAAAGAAAAGAGAGAAGAAGAAGAAGAAGAAGAAGAAGAAGAAGAAGAAGAGAGGGAGAGAAAGTGTCGAACTAAGAAGACTCTTCGTCTAACCCAGTCGCCATATACTTAATCTTGAAAAAATAAATTACAAAGACTGAAATGCCCCTGCATATGAGGAGACATACAGCCAACACCTTACATAAAGGAAAAAGACCAAAATACCCCTCTCTAATTGACTCTAACAATAATAATGGCACATGCTATGCACACGTGCAAATACAATAAAGTTATAAGTTGACAATATATAATCAATTTTTACTTTTAGGCTTGCACCAAAACTGAGGCAAGTATCTGCTTTATGTATTATAGATAAATAATCATCCTGCACTCGATTAAGTATGTATATTATGTAAGATACATTTATATTGTGTTGTGTTTGGTTTGAAAGAAAAGGTATGGAAAGGAAGGGAAACCTGTACAAGCCTTGTAAAGGTTTTTCCCTACCTTTTCTTTCAAACCAAACACAGCCTTACTTCATGTGAAGAATTAGAAGAGATTATACCCTAGCCTTATCTAGAGGAGTTTTGGAGTGAATCAGTGAAAGAGTACACAATATTCATATTTGTATATGAATATTGTGAAATGCACAGTTGCGTTACATGGCTTCATAAGAACTAAGAAGTGTTGGGAGAGACAATGTTATAGCCTAGCGCAGATGAGCTTTGGAGCAAAAGAGAACAGCAGAGCATCATTGGGGAGTCACAGAAATATGCATATTCTATTCCACTAAAATATAAATATCCTTCTTTGCTTCACTTTTATTTATTTTAATTTGCCCAGAGGATGGGAGAAGGCACCAAAAAACACTCTCTAGCATTTTATTGTTGCAAAAGTGGAAAAAGACTTGCCTATTTCTTCCTTGCCCTTGATTAGTTAAATATGCATCCTTATCTGTAATACTGAATTGATTGCTTTTATCAAAAAAAAAAAAAACTGAATTGATTGTTCAATGAGACCCAGATAGAATAAGTCAAGAAGACACAACAAGAGATGTGGAGCATGGGTAAAAGATACTAGTAACGCGAATGCTGTTACATTTGAGACTAGAACATTTCTACTCTCATTAATTTTATTTACATTTCTTGTTAAGTTTCATAATCTTTTACATTATATTTTTAAATTGTGCCATGTTTTGGTGAAGGTGCAGTTCATGCTTCAGGCAATAGGAGCCATATTGCTTATTTTATGCCTCTAGTTTTACTACCTTGTAAGTTGTAAACATGTAAGGTGAAATTCATGATAGAATAGTATTAGAGGGTAATTGAGAGAAATATTGTATTTGGTTGTATTTGGGTATAGTTGCATAGTTTTCAAGGCGCCAAGGCGAGGCTAGGCGACTGGGGGCGCCTTGTCGCCTAGTCGCGTAAGCGGGCGCCTAGGCAATAGATTTTTTATGTTAAAAACATAGATCCTAGGGTAGTTCCCTAGGTACCATAACCAT